TATCATTATTGGAGATGTTACAGGAGTGTTCCCATTACTTTGTTATGTTTATATCATTAAAGGAGATGTTACAGCAGAGTAACAATCACTTTGTTATGTTTGTATCATTATAGGAGATGTTACAGGAGAGAAACAATCACTTTGTTATGTTTGTATCATTATAGGAGATGTAACAGGAGAGTTACCATTACTTTGTTATGTTTATATTATAACAGGAAGTGTAACAGGAAAATAACAATCACTTTGTTATGTTTATATAATAACAGGAAGTGTAACAGGAGAATAACAATCACTTTGTTATGTTTATATTATAACAGGAAGTGTAACAGGAGAATAACAATAACTTTGCTATGTTTATATTATAACAGGAAGTGTAACAGGAGAATAACAATCACTTTGCTATGTTTATATTATAACAGGAAGTGTAACAGGAGAATAGCAATCACTTTGTTATGTTTATATCATTATAGGAGATGTTACAGGAGAGTTACCATTACTTTGTTATGTTTATATTATAACAGGAAGTGTAACAGGAGAATAACAATCACTTTGTTATGTTTATATTATAACAGGAAGTGGACCAGGACAATAACAATAACTTTGCTATGTTTATATTATAACAGGAAGTGTAACAGGAGAATAACAATCACTTTGTTATGTTTATATCATTACAGGACATGTTACAGGAGATTAACAATCACTTTGTTATGTTTATATCATTATAGGAGATGTTACAGGAGAGTTACCATTACTTTGTTATGTTTGTATCATTATAGGAGATGTTACAGGAGTGTTCCCATTACTTTGTTATGTTTATATCATTAAAGGAGATGTTAGAGGAGATTAAAAATCACTTTGTTATGTTTGTATCATTATAGGAGATGTTACAGGAGAGTAACAATCACTTTGTTATGTTTGTATCATTATAGGAGATGTTACAAGAGAGTTACCATTACTTTGTTATGTTTATATCATTATAGGAGATGTAACAGGAGAGTAACAATCACTTTGTTATGTTTGTATCATTATAGGAGATGCAACAGGAGTGTTCCCATTACTTTGTTATGTTTATATCATTAAAGGAGATGTAACAGGAGAGTAACAATCACTTAGTTATGCTTATATCATTATAGGAGATGTTACAGGAGAGTTCCCATTACTTTGTTATGTTTATATCATTATTGGAGATGTTACAGGAGGGTTCCCATTGCTTTGTTATGTTTATATCATTATAGGAGATGTTACAGGAGTGTTCCCATTGCTTTGTTATGTTTATATGATTATAGGAGATGTAACAGGAGTGTTCCCAGTACTTTGTTATGTTTATATCATTATAAGAGATGTTACAGGAGGGTTCCCATTACTTTGTTATGTTTATATAATAACATGAAGTGTAACAGGAGAGTAACAATCACTTTGTTATGCTTGTATCATTATAGGAGATGTTCCAGGAGTGTTCCCATTACTTTGTTATGTTTATATAATTACAGGAGATGTTACAGGAGAGAAACAATCACTTTGCTATGTTTGTATCATTATAGGAGATGTAACAGGAGAGTAACAATAACTTTGTTATGCTTGTATCATTATAGGAGATGTTCCAGGAGTGTTCCCATTACTTTGTTATGTTTATATCATTAAAGGAGATGTTAGAGGAGATTAAAAATCACTTTGTTATGTTTGTATCATTATAGAAGATGTTACAAGAGAGTTACCATTACTTTGTTATGTTTATATCATTATAAGAGATGTTACAGGAGGGTTCCCATTACTTTGTTATGTTTATATAATAACAGGAAGTGGAACAGGAGAGTAACAATCACTTTGTTATGCTTGTATCATTATAGGAGATGATACAGGAGTGTTCCCATTACTTTGTTATGTTTGTATCATTATAGGAGATGTAACAGGAGAGTAACAATCACTTAGTTATGCTTATATCATTATAGGAGATGTTACAGGAGTGTTACCATTACTTTGTTATGTTTATATAATTATAGGAGATGTTACAGGAGAGAAACAATCACTTTGTTATGTTTGTATCATTATAAGAGATGTTACAGGAGTGTTCCCATTACTTTGTTATGTTTATATCATTATAAGAGATGTTACAGGAGTGTTCCCATTACTTTGTTATGTTTATATAATAACAGGAAGTGTAACAGGAGAGTAACAATCACTTTGTTATGCTTATATCATTATAGGAGATGTAACAGGAGAGTAACAATCACTTTGTTATGTTTATATCATTACGGGAGATGTTACAGGAGAGTTACCATCACTTTGTTATGTTTATGGCATTATAGGAGATGTTACATGAGATTTACCATCACTTTGTTTTGTTTATATCATTACAGGAGATGTTCAGGAGTGTTCCCATCACTTTGTTATGTTTATATCATTACATGAGATATTACAGGAGTGTTCCAATCACTTTATTATGTTTATATCATTACAAGAGATGTTACTGGAGAGTTACCATCACCTTGTTATGTTTATATCATTACAGGAGATGTTACAAGAGAGTTACCATTACTTTGTTATGTTTATATCATTACAGGAGATGTTACAGGAGTGTTCCCATCACTTTGTTATGTTTATACCATTACAGGAGATGTTACAGAAGAGTTACCATCACTTTTTTTTATGTTGATATCATTACAGGAAGTGTAACAGGAGAGTAACAATCACTTTGTTATGTTTGTATCATTATAGGAGATGTAACAGGAGTGTTCCCATTACTTTGTTATGTTTATATCATTATAGGAGATGTTACAGTAGAGTTACAATCACTTTGTTTTTCTGTATTATTATAAAGGATGTTACAACGATTTTATCGCGTAATTCGAAGAATGCTTTTTGGTTTCCGAAGACTTTGATTATAATTTCACTGGTAAAAGCATGGTGAATGAAAAAATTCTACCCGAGGTTGTAGAATTTAGGCTCAAACCCGAGGTTTTGCCAAAGTTACGAGTTTAATTCTATACCCGAATATAGAATTTGCTTATCCCCAATACCAATATTTTCTCCCATCTCCTTCCCGGGAATCTGGTACAAATTGACGATGACATTGCGAATGCAACATTTAGTATATAAGGTTTTCTGGATTAAGTACAGATTTATCAAGAACAGTTTGAAAAACCCCAGGAAAAGGTCATTAAAGCAGTCAAACAAGTTCGTTAAATAATTGTTAATTTCTGTAAGACGATATCAGATGCCAATTGTTTGTTTCGGTTAATGTTTCTTCCGCTTTCAAAAATATCAGTATTTCAAATATGTAGTTCTCGAAGGCGGGTCAGTGGGTACATCTATGAGGGATATTCAAGATATTTTTTCCACATTGTTGCACACTAAGAGGTGGGTGAAATTACCATTACACTCATTATCAAACACTTTACTGTAATAACTGTGTAACTTGATCATTTCAGCTCAAAGAAAATATTTGATTTACATACAAATTTAAATCTCGAAAGGAAAAAATAAGACTACATTAATATGTAGGTAAAGTTGTTTACCTGAGTCTCAGCAGGGTTCTGTGTAGACACAAACATCTCCATCTCTCCATCTTCATGTTTAGGCACAGCCAAGGAAACATGTGTCTCAAGATAGAAATGTTCTTGTCCCCCCATATGCACCTCTCCATCGATCACGTGATCGCTCATTTCAAACCCATGCCCCAGGTCTCCTTTTTCAATCACCCGTCGGTCTCCATAGTAAGACTTGGCATCAATGGCTTCCTTTGGGAAAAATGAATGTGTCAGAGTTGTTTCCCGTTACTATCAGCCACATGATGTCACATACATAACATAATATGGTGCATTTATACCAGGAATAGTTAACAGAAGAAATATAGATAGTTAGGAATATAAATTAGTGTGGTAAGCTACGTGACTCGTATTTCCAATGAAAATATAATAACTGAGGTCGCCAATAAGTATTCATAATTTATTTTAGCGGAGTAAAAATAAAACTATTAAAATTCAGGAAGATATAAAACATTAGAAATAATTTCAATATGTCAGTCTTTTTCATTAAACGTCTGAACATTGAGTTATTATAAACCAAATACAGAAGATGACTGAAGGGATAAGACACATATCTGTCAGTCGTCACATGAGAGACAAGCCCTGACAGTTGTTGACTGGAAGAAAGAGACATATCATTGTCATTTGTAGTCAAAGGGAATGAACACAGAAAATACACATCCGTAAGCCTCATCCGTGAGATTGCACCACAAACCTTTATTGTAATGATTGGTTGAAGTTCTTCGTATTTGACTTTGACAGCTTTGGCAGCCCTTTGGGCATGAGTCTGTGTATCTGCAATCACAGCACCAATTATCTGCCCCATACAAACAACCTGCAATTCAGACGAAGACAATTAATGAGCTTCTGTGCAATGTTCACACATTCTTGGGAGCAATCACAAACAATAACAACCATAGCTGCAAACATATCTGAACAGCCTACAATACCAGTACCAGTAATAAGCACATACACGAGGACGCAATAAACATCAAAACACTTTCACAATCGGCTACTTTTTTGAGGAATGTGTCAGCAATTCCGAATTTTTCGACAACCATTGCTGAATACATGCTGGATATGGTTCTTTTAGAAACTTTGATCATGTTAACAGAATGAAAGATGCTTCCGTCATGATTTCCATTAAACACTCAATAATTTATATTAATTTAAAAAAATCAAAACCACTTAAATCCTTCACGTACGATACACATCTTTCAGCAGTATTTTCAATAATTTAAGTAAACTTACATAAGATTAAAACTGCCGGACGAGTTCATTTGAATTCTTTTGCAATTTTTATGAGAAAAAAAGCAATAACTCTGGTAAACTTCATTGGAACAGTATGGCAGGAGAGCGTATACAATAAAATCACATGGTAGTAAGAAGCACATTAAATAAACAAAGTTCAGTGCGAATGCAATACGTATTGGGAACACAATCAACAAAAAATACCTTTTCTGAAGCCAAAAATTCCTCGTCGTGTTCTATGGGCCCCCACATATTATGTCCAGGAATGTCCTTGTATGAGATGAAGTCAACAACTCCCGGCATCGTCAAGGAAACGCTGGGATCCACATCAAGCAATTTGGCATGGGATTTGGTACTGAACACAAATGCTAGGATCAGCTCATCTGTAAGGATCACAGAAACAGATTTGTATATGGATGGATTATCGCCATGTAACGTATACAGAATAATCATCAAAGTAATGGTTTATAGATTAAATAACTTCTAGAGATGCATTTAACGTTTAAGTTTCGTCGGCCTTAATTCTTCAGGAACTAGTTTGAATGTCAATGTATTTGTTCCAGAGAAGTAAATACGTACAGATCTTTGGGTCAACATCCGCAGCAATTCTTCAGGAGAAATAAAAAATGGACTAGCCGCTCAGAGGAAATGACTCCATTATTTGATAATTGTTTTGGCTTAGAAAGTAACAACATTTGATCAGAACGTCCCGTCCTCAAATCACCCTGGTTGTGGCGTGGAGGTTTACCCCAAACAACAAACAAAACAAGAACGTCACTATTGTCATGTTACTAATTCGGGAGTCAAATACGTCAGTAAGAACATTGGTCGGAAACTCATATAGAACCTTTGTACTAAGTAAATAAGGCTGAATTTTTTCTTGGGATTAGATCAGGCAGGTAAAGGCAATTGCGGGTATAAAAAGATTTTTGGAATGTTTTGGAAAGTAACACTTGATAAGGAAGTCATTAAGATTAGTTGTACCAAGTTTGATGTAATTCTTCCAGTGGTTCTAAAGAAGAAGCAAACTATTTAAGGCCAAGAAGATGGTACGGTTATCTTGGATTTTCGGATCGACCTGGGCAGTGTTAATGCTTGGTCAAGATGCTATAAACAAAATGTGTACTATTTTGGATATGTTTTTAAATAGAATCTGGAGTTCAAGTCTCTTTCCCAGCGTACTTCAAACCTAGTATAAAAGGTCCAATTACAATTGATTTTACAAAAAAAGCTAGAGTATATGTACCTGTGTTTTGTTCATTGTATGAGGATTTTTACACAAATTCGCCATCTCCTGTTCTAAAATACTGTTTTTTTTGGTACACTTTACGTTACCTTTGTATGGTGGAATATCGTCGACATAGATAGCCTCTCCTGTTGCCTGTTTACATGCAGACAGGTGGTGTAGAGGGCGCCCCAGTGCATCCTCAACAGCCTGTCCCTGAGCTACCTCTTCAAATACCTGTGTACTCTTGACGGTCTCCTTATAGAACTGGGCAGTGGCACTATGATACGATGACGGAATTTTGTTCTGATTGGTCAGCTGCTAAAATACACATTGTAAATTTTTACTGAATCTATGCTTGATATGTATAACACATTAAAAAACATATATACTGGATACTCTGAATAATAAAACGTCCATAGTTATGTCAAAGGTAACGGTAAAACGTCATGAATTTATGTTGAAATGACTTTTTATTTCTAAAATAATCTTTCAATGTTTCCGATTTCGACTGATTTTAGGACAAATGCTATATTTTGTAACATGCAATATCCTAAATAATTTCATAGCACATGTATGATTTCTCGATTGTGTGTCTAAACCGGAGTGAAAGTTTTGTGGCGAGGCCACATGATGCCAGTATGTAAGACGATAAACGTGTGTGAACGTTTTGTGGTGAGGCCACATGATGCCAGTATGTAAGACGATAAACGTGCGTGAACGTTTTGTGGGGCCACATGATGCCAGTATGTAAGACGATAAAAGGGTGCGAAAGTTTTTTGATGTGGCCATATGATGCCAGTATCTAAGACGATGAATGAATGCGCACGTTTTTTGGTGAGGCGACATGATGCCAGTATGTAAGACGATAAACGTGTGCGAACGTTTTTTGGTAAGGCCGCAAGATGCCAGTATGTAAGACGATAAATGGGTGTGAAAGTTTTGTGGTGAGGCCACATGATGCCAGTATGTGAGACGATACAAGGTTGTGAAAGTTTTGGGGAGAGGACACATGATGCCAGTATTTTAGACGATAAACGGGTGTTAAAGTTTTGTGTTGAGGCCACATGATGCCAGTATGTAAGACGATAAACGGGTGTGAACGTTTTTCGGTGAGGTCACGTGATGCCAGTAGGTAAGACGATAAAAGGGTGTGAACGTTTTGTGGAGAGGCAACAAGATGCCAGTATGTAAGACGATAAACGGTTGTCAACGTTTTTTGGTGAGGTCACATGATGCAAGTATGTAAGACGATAAACGGATGTGAAAGTTTTGTGGTGAGGTCACATGATGCCAGTATGTAAGACTATAAAAGGGTGTGAAAGTTTTGTAGTGAGACCACGTGATGCCAGTATGTAAGAAGATAAAAGGGTGTGAAAGTTTTGTGGTGAGGCCACATGATGCCAGTGTGTAAGACAATAAAACGGTGAGAAAGTTTTGTGGTGAGGCCATATGAGCCAGTATGTAAGACGATAAAAGGGTGTGAACGTTTTGTGGTGAGGTCACATGATGCCAGTATGTAAGACGATAAAAAGGTGTGAAAGTTTTGTAGTCAGGCCACGTGATGCCAGTATGTAAGAACATAAAAGGGTGTGAAAGTTTTGTAGTGAGGCCACGTGATGCCAGTATGTAAGAAGATAAACTGGTGTGAACGTTTTGTGGTGAGGCCACATGATGCCAGTATGTAAGACGATAAACGGGTGTGAACGTTTTGTGGTGAGGTCACATGATGCCAGTATGTAAGACGATAAACGGGTGTGAACCTTATGTGGTGAGGCCACATGATGCCAGTATGTAAGACGGTGAAAGGGTGTGAACTTTGTGTGGTGAGACCACATGATGGCAGTATGTAAGACGTTAAAACGGTGTGAACGTTTTGTGGTGAGACACATGATGCCAGTATGTAAGACGATAAACGGGTGTGAACGTTTTATGGTGAGGCCACATGATGCCAGTATTTAAGACGATAAACGGGTGTGAACGTTTTATGGTGAGGCCACATGATGCCATTATGTAAGACGATAAAACGTAGTGAACGTTTTTTGGTGAGGCCACATGACGCCAGTGTATAAGACGATCAAAGGGTGTGAACGTTTTGTGGTTAGGCCACATGATGCCAGTATGTAAGACGATAAACAGTTCTGAACGTTTTTCGGTGAGGCCACAGGACGCCGATATGTAAGAAATAAAAGGGTGTGAACTTTTTGTGTTGAGGCCATAGGATGCCAGTATGTAAGACGATAAACGGGTGTGAACGTTTTGTGGTGAGGCCACATGACGCCAGTTTATAAGACGATAAAAGGGTGTGAACTTTTTGTGGTGAGGCCATAGGATGCCAGGATGTAAGACGATAAACGGTTGTCAACGTTTTTTGGTGAGGCTACAGGACGCCGATATGTAAGACGATAAAACGGTGTGAATGTTTTGTGGTGAGGCACATGATGCCGGTATGTAAGACGATAAAAGGGGGTGAACATTTTGTGGTGAGGCCACTTGATGCCAGTATGTAAGACGATAAACAGTTGTAAACGTTTTTTGGTGAGGCCACAGGACGCCGAAATGTAAGACGATAAAAGGGTGTGAACATTTTGTGGTGAGGCCACATGATGCCAGTATTTAAGACGATAAACGGGTGTGAACGTTTTTTGGTGAGGCCAATTGACGCCAGTATGAGACGGGGAAAGGGTGTGAATTTATTGTGGTGAGACCACAGGATGCCAGTATGTAAGATGATAAACGTGTGGGGTGTGAACGTTTTGTGTGTGAACGTTTTGTGGCGAGGCCACATGATGCCAATATGTAAGACAATAAAACAGTGTGCAAGTTTTCGGGTGAGGCCACATGATGCACATGATGCCAGTGTAACAGACGATAAAAGGGTCTGAACGTTTTGTCGTGAGGCAACATGATGCCAGGATGTAAGTAAGAAGATAAACGGGTGTGAACTTTTTGTGGTGAGGCCACTTCATGCCAGTATGTAAGACCATAAAAGGGTGTGAACGTTTTGTGATGAGGCCACATCAGTCCATATGTAAGACGATCAACGGGTGTATGCCATATGTAAGACGATCAACGGGTGTTATCTTTACATGATGCCAGTATGTGTGTGAAAGTTTTGTGGTTAGGCCACACGATGCCAGTGTATCAAACGATAAAAGGGTCTGAACGTTTCCACATGATGCCAGTATGCAAGACGATAAACGGGTGAGAACGTTTCTTGGTGAGGCCACAGGACGCCAGAATGTAAGACGATAAAAGTAGGTAAGACGATAAACGGGTTTGAACGTTTTGTGGTGAGACCAACGGGTGTGAACGTTTCGTGTTTAGGCCACTTGATGCCAGCATGTTGCACGATAAACTGTTCTGAACGTTTTTTGATGAGACCAGAGAATGCCAGTATGTTAGACGACATGATGCCAGTATGCAAGACGATAAACGGGTGGGAACTTTTTGTGGCGAGGCCACATTATGCCACTTTATAAGACGATAAACGGGTGGGAACTTTTTGTGGCGAGGCCACATGATGCCAATATGTAAAACGATAAAAAGATGTGAACGCTTTGTGGTGAGGCCATATGAGCCAGTATGTAAGACGATCAACGGGGGAGATCTTTTTGTTTACCGGCCACATGATGCCAGTGTGTAAGAAGATAAACTGGTGTGAACGTTTTGTGATGAGGCCACATGACGCCAGGGTGTAAGACGATAAAAGGGTTGGGAACGTTTTGGGGTGAGGCCACTTGATGCCGGTATGTAAGACGATAAAATGTAAGAGGATAAACGGGTGTGAAAGTTTTGTGGTTAGGCCACACGATGCCAGTGTATCAAACGATAAAAGGGTCTGAACGTTTTGTCGTGAGGCAACATGATGCCAGGATGTAAGTAAGAAGATAAACGGGTGTGAACTTTTTGTGGTGAGGCCGCTTGATGCCAGTATGTAATACGATAAACAGTTGTAAGCGTTTTTTGGTGAGGCCGCAGGACGCCGATATGTAAGACGATAAAACGGTGTGAACGTTTTTGTGGTGAGACACATGATGCCAGTGTGTAAGACAATAAACCGGGGAGAAAGTTTTGTGGTGAGGCCTCATGATGCCATTATGTAAGACGATACAAAGGTGTGAAAGTTTCATGGTCAGGCCACACGATACCAGTATGTAAGGGGATAAAAGGGTGTGAACGTCTTAAGTTGATGGATTGTGTGGCTAAACCGGAGTGAAAGTTTTGTGGTGAGACCATATGAGTGAGTAAACATGATGCCAGTATGAAAGACGGTAAAAGGGTGTGAACGTCTTAAGTTGATGGATTGTGTGGCTAAACCGGAGTGAAAGTTTTGTGGCGAGGCCACATGCTGCCAGTATGTAAGACGTTAAAACGGTGTGAACGTTTTGCGGTGATGCACATGATGCCAGTGTATCAGACGATAAAAGGGTCTGAACGTTTTGTGGTTAGGCCGTAAGACGATAAACGGGATTTAACGTTTTGTGGTGAGGAAACATGATAGGCCACATGATGCCATTATGTAAGACGATAAAAGTAGGTAAGACGATAAAAGGCTGGCGGCGTGTTGAGGCCACATGATGCCAGTAGGTAAAACGATAAAAGTGTGTGACCGTTTTGTGGTGAAGCCACATGACGCCAGTTTGTAAGACAATAAAAAGGTGTGAACGTTTTGTGATGAGGTCACATGATGCCATATGTAAGACGATAAAACGGTGTGAAGGTTTTATGACAGACGATAAACAGTTGTAAGGTGTGAAAGTTTTGTAGGGTGTGAACGTTTTGTAGTGAGGCCACATGATGCCCGTATGTAAGACGGTAAAAGGGTGTGAACGTCTTAAGTTGATGGATTGTGTGGCTAAACCGGAGTGAAAGTTTTGTGGCGAGGCCACATGCTGCCAGTATGTAAGACGGTGAAAGGGTGTGAACTTTTTGTGGTGAGACCAACGGGTGTGAACGTTTTGTCGTGAGGCAACATGATGCCAGGATGTAAGTAAGAAGATAAACGGGTGTGAACTTTTTGTGGTGAGACCACATGATGCCAGTATATGCCAGTATGTAAGACCATAAAAGGGTGGGAACGTTTTGTTGTGAGGCCACACGATGCCAGTGTATCAAACGATAAAAGGGTCTGAACGTTTTGTGGTTAGGCAACTTGATGCCAGTATGTAACACGATAAACAGTTGTAAGCGTTTTTTGGTGAGGCCGCAGGACGCCGATATGTAAGACGATAAACGGTTGTCAACGTTTTTTGGTGAGGAGTATGTAAAACGATAAAAAGATGTGAACGCTTTGTGGTGAGGCCATATGAGGCAGTATG